GGACTATGAGTAGGCCTGGGGTTGGGAAAATGCTTGGGGTGGGCCTTCAGAGAAGGCAACCAGAAGAGAGGTAAGTTTGGTTTGTTTAGATTTTGGGAAAAGCTTCTGGTCACAGGTGCCCATGCCATGAGCCATGGGTGGCTGGATGGGGAGTGGGGAGGCTGCTGCAGGTGCTCTTAGCAAGTGTATAGTCTATTAATTATTATAGGCTCATGGGGCTAGAGGGCCTGGCGGACTGTTGATGGAGCAGGAGGATTCAGTGGACTGAATGGTGGTTGAGGTAATCAAGCAAACTGATTGAGGGGCATCAGCCCTTGGAATAGTTGTTGGGCTAAGCAAGCCCTGAGAAAGACAGAGGGAGCGTGGTTAGACACTGAGCCCAAGGGGCTGATTGTGTGGGTATACCTGTAAGATTGGCAGTGGACTGGGTTGGGCCCACTAACACTAAACAACATTTGGTCCTGAGTGGCTCTATGATGTGAACGAGCCAGAGGTACCTGAGGTGGCCCTTTAACTAAACTAAGGGCCTATTCATTAATTATCAAACATCAAGGTGTGGTAGGTGAAAATTAACCAGGTCAGCAAGATGTTGGGAGGGCAAGCAGGTGAGGACTGACTGCCAAGGTGGGGTTGACAACTTCAGGACATCTGGGGCTACACTATGGACCGTAATAAGACTGATTTTTAAAAGTGCATACATACATTGTGGAAGTAAGATTTTTCATGTTGCCTTAAGTTTGATGTTCTGATTTAGGATTTCTAGACTATTTTGCTTTGTATTAGGTGTTCCCTTCTCTGCATTAATAGATAATGGCACGCTATCAGTAATGTTGAATTATTGTACTATGTTAAAGTATAATGTTTATTAGACCATGTATTACACCCTCTGGCATGTCACACTGCATTGTCTGGAGTGTTTCCTGAACTTGAAGCAAGATAACTCCATCCATGTGGCACTACAGGCAGCTAATTAGGCAGCTTAATTGCCTGTGTCAACTCAGCAGTGCTAGCACTCTGAAGTGCCACACAGACACAGCAACTTTGCTTCCCGTTTAGGAGGTAGCACACATGGAGCTGCGGTTACTGGGAATAGCAAACTTAAAATGTAAAAATGGTATTACAGTGCTGTGTAACGCTAATGAACTCTATAACTTCTTTGACATGGGAAAACAACCTAAAAAAGATTGTATGTACTTACATCAACAATTAAGAAATCCAGCCAGCACCAGGCATTAGTGAAATATATTTGAAAGCCGTATGCTACCCATTTTAGAAGCATTTCCAGAATGAAGATGTATGTGAAAACCTTGTCAGCATATTCCAGCATGGTTTTGATAGTCTTGCGCTGTTCAATATATATGTCTTCAAAAGCCTATGCATATAAAAGTATCAAATATTCACAATGCTTTCAAGTTCAGAAAGGTAAATCAGATGATTTATTTCACTTATTTACTGTTTTTACTGGTTACTATATTACTTATTACTACATTAATAAATAAATTAATGAGTTTCTATCAATATTTTTGAGTAAGAGGCTTTCATTGAAAATCTCTCTTTTGTTTTAAACTTATTCCAAAAATATATATTTTCGTGGAGGGAGCCTGGGAGAGAATTTACTGCACCATTTAAATCAAACTTTTTTCTATAAGCATAACCAAGGAAGAAGGCAATGTCACTAGGCAAGCATTTTTATATTAAACATTAAGAGCAAACTTGCTTAATAATACTTTCTCAGAAAGCATACTTCCCACTCTGATAGTATAGCAAGTGTCTAGCTTGTGTAATTTGAAATTGAATAGTGCTTGGTAGTAAGGATCATTTTGGAGAACCAAACAAGAACTATTATATCTTAAATGCTCCAAAACACTGTCTCCTCCCCTTCTCACCCCCCCTCCAAAAAAAAAAAAGCATGATATTCCAAACATACAAAACAGAAATAAAGAAAAGATGAATATGACAAGAATGACTGAAAAAGAACCCCAAGAGTGGAAGAATTTACCTGAGAAATGGAAATTACCCCAACAATCTACTCAGTCTACAGAAATAATTTTTACAAGGGCCCACAAGAGCTTCTTTAGCATACAAAAAAATCTTACTGTATTTTCAGTACCTGGGTAGTTACAGAAAATACATTTATCCAGGGCTCATATACTTGGTATTGTTACATTTACTATATCACCCATCCCTATTAAAATACAAACAAGTTCAAATGTGGTGATTTTTGCATTGGAGGCATTTGCATGAAAATTGTCTTTATGGATTTGCACCATACAGAATTAAATTTTAATTTCAAGCTCAAAGCCTGAAGTGAAATTTATAAAGCATTTACATTTCCCATTTTCATATAATACCACTGACTGCATAGGCTTATAATTTTTTTATCTGTATGCATACAGCAACAACTGCCTGGTGTTCAGGTCCAGTATCTGATTTTCCAGTAGCTGGTCCAAGTAAAATGCCCAAATTCTTTAAAAAGTGGAATAACTAGAGGTGGGTGACCCGATCACCAGCCTTAAGTGTTGATTTAAAAGTTGTACCAGTGGTGGCAGCAGCCTGTGGTAGTGGAGTTAAGCAAGACTGCAGCAATTAGCACCACCATGCCTTACTCCCATCCTTTCCTGGGTGCCAAAATTCTCAGTTATGTTCTAACTTTAATCCAAAATCCAATTTTCTTACTTAGTTCACTTACCAGAGCACCACTGCTCAGGAGAATCATGAAGACAATGAATGTTTCAAACCAGTTGTGCTCAACTATGCTGTAGCATGTTTTCCTAAGATTCCACCATATTTTCCCTTTTCCATCTTCTATACTTACTTGACAACATGGGAACTTCTTCACGCAACCTGTAAATGTGATATTAGGTTATTAAAACTTATGATCAAATAGTAACTTATTTTGAAGTAGGCTGTCACTGACAACAAATTCATTATTTTCTTAGTTTTCTAGCCATTCACACTTAACGGATACTTTTAAAATCTGACACAAGAATCCCATATTTACTTACAGGGTACTGGATAGCTGGTTATGGGTAGTAAATATGTTTTTAAAATATCTGAGTCAATCCATTGTTGCATGTACAATTAAGATTGAAATTGTTTTTTTTGAATCTGTCTATATTAGACTCAACTATTTTGAGCTATGTGCAAAAGCCACTTGTATGCAAGGCTTAGTCCACAATTCTGTTTGCTCATGGAGTTCAAAAGAAATTATGTCACTCGAAATTTCAAGGTCCCTCCTAAGAGACTTCAGAACACATTCATTTTTGGAACAGAAAAGTTAATTTAGGAACCCTAATTCTAAGAGGTAGGGCTGTGCAAAGCTTTGGTTCCTGATTCAATTTGGCCCAATTTGGTAGCCAAATCTCTGAATCCGAAGCAAATCAGTGGACCCTTTAATCTCTCCAAATTGAATTGGAACCCTCCGAATTGATTCAGAGAGATTTGGAAAAATTTGGAGATTTGGACATAGACAGCTTTAAATGTTTTTTCTATATACCTCTAGGTAGTAGACGGCTTGTGAATGCTGAGATGCTGGGGTGCATGGAGTGTTCCACAGGAGCGCAGGGGGCTCCACAGCACACTTGGCAGCAGACCCAGCACTTCCAGGTCTTCCAGGGAGTGCACCGGGGGGCCCCCTCGCACCATCTCCAGCTTGGCAACTGGTGCCTCCTGGGTCTGGGGGTGGCATCTGGAGTCCCCCTCTCGCTGACTGCTGAGCTGTTAGGCCTTGAGGGGGGCCTGCACGCTTCCCAGTGGACCTGGAAGTGGACTGGAAGTACTTCCAGTCTACTTCTGGGTTCAACGCTGAGCACATGGAGATCCCCCCTCCACTCCTGTGGGACCCTCCATCCACCCTAGCATTGCAGCATTGACAAGCTGTTCTGGTGCTTTGAGGTATGTAGAAAAAGCATTTAAAGCTGTGTCTGTGTCCGAATCGCCGATTCTCCGAATCGGCATCGAATTTTCAGATTCAGATTTGGCCTAATCGAATCAGGGACAGTGATCCGAATTGAATCACTGTCCCTGATTTGGGCTGTATCCAGATCTGAATCGAAAAGGGCCAGCTTCGCGCACCCCTTCTGAGAGGTATCCTGTTATTGGATGGGATGGAAAAGAGCCAGTTGCCAAAGAATGTTTACTTTGATGTCTTATGACTATTAATTTGAGTTGGGAGCTACTTCTATTGGCTGTTGAAATAAAAAGGCAGATGGAGTTTGAAAATTAACAGGGCACCTTCATAGCCTGGGCAATACCAGCTGCTGTACTGCTGGTGGCAGCAGTGACTACTTTAGCATCTTTGCCCTTCCCTCTGAAGATGGCATCTGGGACTGCTGCCTTTATCATCCTCCCTTGCTTATGCTCTTGGTAGATACTGTCTGTATGACTCAAGCTGCTGTTGACTAATTTATATCTTTAGTCAGTATGGTGTGCTGTTACCTTCTGTAAAACAGGCTTCTGGTTCCAGAGATTCTTCAGGTTCAATCTCAGCTTGTTCACCCTCTCCAGGAGGGGCAATATCAACTGTACTGCCTTCAGATGAGCTGGATGCATTTAGTTTCTGCAAATAAAATCCCACAAAATGCACTTTTTTCCCTCATGAAGTACTGTATTTATAGAAACTATTGAAATATCCCAGTCTCTAACTTTTAAATAAAAATATTTAGTAAATACGTAGTGACATTCTGCACTGTAAGTGAAATTTTAGCATTAAAATTGACATGTTATGGTTTCATGTTCCAGAAAGGAAAGGAGATGAAGAGTGACAAGCAGTTTGACCACTAACCTGCTCCATACATAAGAATTCTGAAACAAAGATTCAGTAACAATAAGGTCCAGTGCATACCCCATACTGTTGAGTTATTTAGTTCTCTCTGTTGCGTTGGATTACACAGCAAATGCCACTTAATTTTTCTAGCACAGTAACGAAGTTAACAGAAATGTGTGTTATTTCACATCCACTACAGAAGGTGTTTTCTCAAAACAATATATGGATTGAAATATTATAAAGTCAGTGACTATCCTTATAAAAATACACAGCACCAGGTGCTCATAGCTATATCAGCTGAGAGATCAGCAAATTAACTTTAGAACATGCATTGTTTTGCATTCTTTTCCATTATGCATACTATTACTTTTATAGGCAGTCAAATCCAGTAATCTTTTTACTCAGACAAAACTCTGAGAAATGTCAGTGGGAGTTTTTCAATCCTTACTTCTTAACTCAGGTGAGATTGATTTGATGCTACTCAAATGATTGGACATATTTCCACAGACCATAACAGACTGTAGATAAAGCTGATAGTCCATTGGCAGTTTAGAGCTATTTATTATTTTGGCATGCTTGTTTCCTTTTTAAATATGCAAATAAAATATTTTTCAAAGGGCAGATGCATTTGTTTTTCAAAACAACTAACATGAAAGTTAGTCACAGAGTTTCTAACATGTTTTTAATTGTCAATATTGTTCCTTTGCTGTTTGAATTTATTTGGAATTAATTTTCATTTGCACTTAAATAAGAGTTCTAATCAATTCTACAACATTAAAGAAAGCAGTTCAGTAAAACATTTCATTATATACCATGCAACAATATACATAGTATGGTACATCATAGTAACTTAAATTCCAGTATTAGTAAGAAACTGTTAACATGATCGAGGTAGAATTATAATGTAAAACTTTTGGAAAAGCAGCATACTCTGTTACAAATTAACAGAAATATTGATGTTAGTACAAACATGTATATGGAATTAAAACTGATTGAGGAAACCACTTATGAGTATTATTTAAAGAACTTTTATTCTGTATTATATCAGAATACAGAAAAATTTAGAGGTGCTATTTAATAAGGAAATGTTAGTGCATTTCTTCATCAAGAAGTAATAATCCTATGCAAAGTACTTTGAGGCTGACAGGACAGATCCTTAGGTGGCATATCGGGACAACTTCCTTGATTGCCTAGCAAGGGATCATCACATTCTGCTACATTACATGGATTTACAGCATCCCAAGGATTTAACCTGATATTTTATCAGCCCAGGATATGAGTAATAGTGAATCAACAGGCAGTACTCTCAATTTGGTATCAGAAATATTAAAATGAATAAAATTATAACCAAAATGATCAATCAAATGTCATTATGAGATGTTGAGATCATCGTTGTGAGCACAGACACAGGAAATTCTGAGGAAATCGGCAGGAGTGCCAGGATTTGCAAGGAAGGCTTCCAAAAAAGCCAGTGTCTGTACATGAGTTCTAACTTGTTGCAACAATCTGTTTCACTATAACCCTTGATATATGTTACATTATTGCATTATGATTTTTTAAAAATAATTTTGAATTTTGCTTTCGTTAAAAAGATGTTATGAAGACCAGTGTTTCTATTGATTTTAGGCATAATCTTATGAAGTGTCAAGTATTGTTGTCTTTCTGTTAAGTTAGGAGAGAGCCTACAAGTTGGGTTCTCAATTATTTGCAAACAAATAGCCAAGTAATCTATAAAATGAGTAATTTAGAAGTCATTGATTTTTCAAGGTAGGAAATGTTGATCCTGTATTAATATTCGTATTTCTGTTATCCAAATTACATTAATTAAAAAATTCCATGTGGAAGACATTGACACAGCAGAATGGCAGCTGGTCAATGTTCTACTACTGGCCACATTATTGCTCGTTGGAAGATGAGATTATGTGGTTTGAGTCAAAGAGACCTGTCTGAAAAGAAGTAGAGTTTTAAAAGAAGTAGAGGAAAATGTATTTATTGTTTTCAAGTGACAGGTGAAGCGAGATACAAAAATAATTTTGTATCGGTGGATAAAAATAAAAAACTGAAGAGACATTTTGACTTGCATAATATGCTCTGCAGTACAGGCAACCCCCACTTAATGTGGTTTCACTAAATGCTATTTTACTAAAGCACTCATTTAAAATGAATACCTGATTTCACTTAGCGCTAAGTCAGTTTCATTACAGCACTCAGCGAAGCAGCAGTGGCGGTGAGAAGTGGTGAGTGGAAGCAAGTGGGTGGGCAGGAATGAGTGCGGAGCCTGCACTGGTGCTGCAGGACCAGGGCCAGCGGGGGCCCTGGGCTGGCACACAATGCCGGAGTGGCTGGTGGATGGGGGAGTGGAGAGAAGCGGCGGCAGTGAGAAGCAATGAGTGTGGGGGGGTAGGTGTGAGTGCGGGGCCTCCACTGCTGCCCGAGGCCAGGGCCAGCGGGGACCCAGGGTGGAGTGGCAGAAGTGCAGGGCTGGCACATGTGGGCTGGCACGTGGGGCTGGAGAGACCAGCAGGCAGGCAGAGAGGTGGGAAAAGGAGGCGGTGGTGAGAAGTTGCAGCAAGAAGTGGCAGTAACTAATTATCTCTATTTACATTAGTTCATTATGGGGAAATGGGTTTCACTTAGTTCAGTTCCACTTAACACTAGGTTTTTCCAGAACCTATTAAGAGCGTTAAGCGGGGTTGCCTGTAATACACATTAACTTTTGAAAGGGGTTTTTTCATGTTTTTCTTTAGTGACCGTAAACATTTTAAAAAATGCATCTAGTTCTTTCATGTTATTAAACATTATCCCATAGGGAGAATAAACTGGTAGATAAGAAATAATGTGATGTTATTGTAGATTATGTGCACTGTGTTTGTCTAATCATCAGGTGTAGATGAACAATTTCTTTCTCATCAACCCTCCAGATCAAGTGATTTAACATTTTTGGCATATTTGTAAGTATTTATGTGATTGCTAATAGAAATTTGTGGGCTTAAGTCTCGATATTTGGCTTTCACAAATACAACATTTCAGTAAATTAAACTCAGCTCTGTTGTATACTGATAATAACCAGTCATGGCATAACTATGAGTGTAGTGAAATTAAAAAACAAACAAACACTGCAAGGTTTCTCTTGTGGTAAGTAGACTTATCTAAAAGGCGCGCACACACACACACGGGTATATTTTGGAAACCATGTATGCATTATATATCCTTTAGCATTCCAGCATTCCTCATCTGCTTTCTCTTGGTTACAGAAGCTTTAATAACACAGTTAGTGTGATGTATACATATGTCTCCTTAATAAAACTGATTTTGAAAGATGAATATATTCAATAATTATGTCAATATTGTCTATTTAAAAAAAACTAATTTTCAATATCAGAACATATTCTAAAGACCACAAGTAACGAATATTGAAAGTATATGTGCATTAGAACTGAGAGATCAATATTAATGTCTAGTAATTACTAGACAAATATATGTGAAACATGAGGGAAATATAAACTGTATTATATAGAAGAATTTCACACTTTTGCTTTCACCATTCCATTTTGGCTAATATCTACATAGCAAAGGGCTGAAGTAATGGAAGAAAATTGACAATTATTAGCACAAAATTACCTATAGTAGGAAAAAGAAAAGAAAACCATTCTTTTAGAGCAAAAAATAAAAATTGTGAACTTCTTTTATATTTGTTTATTTACTATAATAAGACTTAACTTCTTCCTGTCGTTGGAACTGTGCTCTGTTCCTTAATTAACTGACAATTTAGTATTATTAGATAATCTGATACATTTAAATTAGGCAGATTAGGAATCATTTAGAACCTGATTCAGCACCACTGAACTCAATAAAATAGACCTAAAGGATAATAGGATAAAAGATCACAACAATAATCAATTTTAATACTTCGAATGACTGCCAGTTTAGTGAAGCCAATTCTTTGAACATTTCTGCCTCATATAGACCTGTCTCTATTAGTCCTATCAGAATAATCATTAAATAGCAAATATTAGTACTGCAGTATATGTTTAGTAGTATAACAAATGTGGCAACTCCTCAGTGTGTTCTTTGTTTATTTTTCAGTTAATCTCAAATAATCACAAATTTAAAAAAAATATATATGAAGTAAATGAAAATTACTTCCTCTCCCCCTCAAATTAAAAACATAATCCTTGAAGTTTAGAGATGGAGGCATTAATTCTGGTACTTTTTCTAGGACTAAAACTAATAAAATAAAAAGACATTCAAAATCCACAGTCATTCTTTGTCAAATTTTTCCTTTTATGTCACATATAGGATTATCACACCCTAAAACATTCCATTCTCTGTAGATACTCATTTGCACCTGTAGAAATGATGTCTTATTATCTACAGGGATACATTTGAAAACATTTGCTTATGATATAGCATTCTCAAGGCCTGAATCAGCAAACCAGCATGCTTGATTGAGCAGAAGCCTGAGCGTTATTGTGGGGAAAAACACACACACAAAAGTAATCAAAGAAAAAACTACTTGTATGGGCTTATATTGGTTATTTTGGTAGAAGAATATTATTGGTATAATATATACAATTGTACAGGATGTGAAAAAGAAGTTTAAGCAGTACTGCTTACAAATATTTGAGTCCCTCATTTGTATGCATGTAGAGTTGAACCTATATGCTGGGAAGTAATGCATCTCTTAATTTTAACAGTTTAAATAATCAAATAAGCCTTGACCATCAGCATGTTAATGTGCCCATTTCCATTAGAATGCATTCACATAGGACCCACTCTTGCTCCCATTTAAC